TGTCGTCAAGTTCCACTAACGGCAACCCTAGGAAGCGTGCAGCTTCTGTGGGATTTGTCCACAGGGACAAGGCCGTTAGGGTTGTCGGGTTTTCCGGGCATGCGAAGAGATGGTTCGAGTCATGTGGGGTCTCTCCGCATGCCGGACATTCGTTCGGCACATCCTCATTCAACCTACTCAAGTAGGAGTTTAACCTGCTGCAGTAGCCGGAGCGAAGTTGTGCGAGTGTAGTGCGTGTCTCCCGAGGCAGATGAAGCTCTGTCTCGTCTATGTCCGGGGGTGGTATGCCTAGAACGGCATTCACAGGTCTAGAGTCTACATAACTCGAGACTGAGTCCCTGTGAATGCCGTTCAGGGCCTGTCTGTACGCTGTCGGGTCCAGAGGTTGCTTAATGAACCTCTGGACTTCGTCCGTCAGTTCATATAGATGCCTCCTGACGTGCCTAGGCGAGGGCTCCTCTGCAAGCAGCTGTCTGCTTGGGTGGCCACTTCTGTGGCTCCCGATCAGGAACTGCTTGCAGAGCATTATATTATGCTCCTTAACTGGGAGCATTTGCGCCTCGCCGTGCAAGCGGTGTTCAGGCGACATCAGGAGGCATCCCGTCGCTGTCCTAAGTGCCGTATTTTGTACCGTCTGTAGCTTCGTCCACTGCGTCCTACTAGTCCCTGGCGACCACACTGGCGCTGCGTAGTTCAAAACCGGCCGGCCTATTGCCTTGTATGTTGCCAGCAACGTTTCTTTGTCTTTGCCCCAAGTACTGCCGGCTAGCGACTTGAGGACCTTGTTGCGGCTCTGTACTTTATTGACAATAGCGGTTGAGTGCGCAGAGAAGGAGAGCAGGCTGTCGAATGTTACTCCGAGTATTTTGGGGTTATTCACCGTCGGAATTGGTGTGTCATCGACGTGAATCCCCAGCGGTAGCCTGACCTCCTTCGTCCAGGTTGTGAACAGGGTCGCGGAGGATTTCGTAGGGGAGAGGGCTAGACACTTTGCAGTGAAAAAGCGAGAAAGTTCGGAGAGATAGCCGTTTACTTTCGAACACAGGTCATCAATTCCATTCCCAGTCGCCATGATCGAGCAATCGTCGGCATAGGAGACAATCGAGACTCCCTCTGGTGGTTGAGGGAGCTTTGAAATGTAAAAGTTAAACAGTAGCGGGGAAAGGACACCACCCTGAGGAACCCCCTGTTTTATTTTTCGCTGCTTACTCGTTTTGTCTCTAAACATTACCGACGAATGTCGACCACTCAGATAATTTGCCGACCACCGTTTGAGCCTCTGTTGGAGAGAGGAGGCCTCTACATCTTCTAGTAGCGTGGAATGGCAGACGGTGTCAAACGCCTTTGACAAGTCCAACGCTACTAGAATCGTTCTCTCACAGGGACGGTTACGGTTAAGGCCACGAGTTATCTGAGTGTTTATGGCGTTAAGTGCTGTTGTTGTACTGTGCACTTTACGGAAACCATGCTGATGCTTCGCTGGGGTCAGGTGGTTTGTGAAGTACGGGAGTAGCAAGGTCTCGAGTGTCTTCGCTACCGGGGAAAGGAGTGTAATCGGACGATACGAATCTCCTTTGTTGGCGGGTTTCCCCGGTTTGAGCAGTGGGACCACTCTCCCCACCTTCCAGATGTCTGGGATGATGAGAGTGGCCATTGACAAGTTGAGGACCTCCGTTAGGTACGCTACCCCCGCAGGACCCAAATTTTTCAGCATCAGCATACATATTCCGTCGGGACCCATGGCTTTGGAGGCTTTCGCCTTCCCGATGGCCACCTGAACTTCACCGCAAGTGAAAGCAAGGGGGGCACAAGTTGTTGGCAGTTTGTGCAGCCTTCTGGTCACTCGACGATTGGCTTTGTCCACCGGAGGATGCAGTATGAACTGCCGGCTAAAATAGCTCGCGCATCGCTCCGGGTCCGACGAGGCATGGTCGCCGAAGGAAATTTCGACTCTGTCGTCGTGCTTCGTCGGATTAGACAATGACCTCACGGTTGACCAAAGCTTGCTCACACCATGAAATGTGAAATTACAAGTCTTCAGGTGCTCCTCCCACTTCTTCCGCTTATGTACGTTTACAAGTTGCCGAACCTCCGCGTTGAGATCCCTGATACGGGGATCTCCGGGATCGGCCTGACGAAGGCTATCACGCTCATCAGCTAGAACAGCCGCTTCGGCAGGGAAGTTTGGACGTGGGTCCGATATACATCCTGCCGGTATGAAGCGAGCTGCAGCAGCAGTGATAGCCCTGCGGAACTTACGTTCACCGAGATGGACGTCGGTTGGTGTGGGGAGCGCTGCGAAGGTGTTTTCGGTAAACTCCGCGTAACCTTTCCAATCAGCTTTAGAAAAGTTGATATAGGTCCGGTGTTTGGCGGAGGCAAAGTCGGTTGGTTTATCAATCGAGATGACTATGGGTAGATGGTCTGATGCTAGAGTCAGCATAGGTCGCCACGTTATGCTGTTTATCAGACCAGCGCGGACTATTGTGATGTCTGGCGAGCTACTGCAGTTACCCATAATCCTGGTGGGTGCGTCGTCGTTCATTGTGCAGAATGTCGAATCGTCTATCTGCTCAGCCAAGTCTGTTCCCCTACGATCGTTTGACAG